TTAGCTTTCTCGTGTTTCTTAATTTTAATACAAGATGTCTTATTTCATATCCCTATTTTCCCTGTTTCATCCTCAGAGTCGACATTTAACTCAGAAAAATTATTTCTAAGTTTAGTCTCTGTAACTTGAAGATCATCATACAAAATTTCCAACATTATAAGGAATTCGCCTGCTTTTCAAGCATGTAGCACTTATTCTTTTTGAGATTTCGTATGCCATAGTAGCGAGTATGCTAGCGAGTGAATAGTGTATCGTTTTTCTACTATACCTATAGAGAAGGCTTATTTAGATAGACATTTTTATAGTTACACAGTATTTTCACATAATAATTGAAAAATTCCACTATTCCTGTAGCAGAACTATTAAGTTTTTTTTTCAAATATCATCACGTCATACATACATATATATCACTACATATTATACAACAAAGTCCTCCTCCGCGTCTGTCTGTCTGTCTGTTCGCGATAAACTCAAAAATTACTGCACCGATTTTCATGCCGTTTTTACCAATGGATAGAGTGGTTCTCGAGGAAGGGTTTAGTACATAATTTGTCAAGTTTTTGTAACCATTGGCTAAAATATAAAGATATTTGTTGGAGGTGTCGGAAAAAAATAAGCCGTCTGGGAGCTTTCAACTAAAACGCTGTCTAAACCTTTTGAGATATAACAAAATAATGTGTGGTGGAATTGTGTATCTTATTCCTTAATTTCATACTAAACGTTAAAACGTACCCAGCGATGAACCCGAGCGAAGCGAGGGTGAGTCGCTAGTAATATTATAAATACAAAAATGTTGAGTGCAATAAGTTATATTAAAAAATAAAGAAAATATTGAGTTTTACTCTTATGTGAATGTATATTACATTATTTAAACTATTTTCATGTTTTTAATTTACTTAATTATATGCTTTCAATCACCCCTAAATTCAGTGCTTTAACCAAAATGAAAATGTATTATATATTATCTGTGCATTACAGGTCAAGTGTATATAAACAGTGGGATTAATTACATAGAGTAATGTATGAACAGAGGTACCTAAGTGCCTAATTTTTATCTATATTTCTAAATAAAAAAAAAATATTACAAAATTTTTCAACACAAAAAATCTATTTCTAATATATTGTTCATATATAATTTACAAAGTCTCTTTGAAGTGAAAACTACTACAGGCAGGTTTGGATAGAGAGTAAATTCAAGTAAGTAGTCATCGACATGGTCACGTGACGTGTTAACGCTAACACTCAGAGTGCCGATAGATGTCAAACCAGATAAATGTAAACAGTTTTAATTTACAAATTTAGTATGTAAACAGTTTTAATTTACAGTTTTAGTTTAAGCACTAATAAATAGTATATACAAAAATAACAAAAGTAAGTCGTCATCGACATGGTCACGTGACGTGTTAACGCTAACACTCAGAGTGCCGATAGATGTCAAAACCAGATAAATGTAAACAGTTTTAATTTACAAATTTAGTATGTAAACAGTTTTAATTTACAGTTTTAGTTTAAGCACTAATAAATAGTATATACAAAAATAACAACTGTTTATAATTTTAAATTTTCACTTCTGTCGGCAGTCCTCATGACTGTTTTTTTTATATTTATAAGCTTACAAAACGGACATACAAATGAAATAAACAAGCTTAATTATAATTATTCTACATTCAATTAAACAAATGATATCTTCTAAGATGTAGAAGAATCTAGAAGAAGTTTGTAAATATATACCTATTAATAATTTGATTTAATTCGAACTAATTTCAAATTTTAGCTAAAAAAGCTTAAAGCTGTAAATAAAACTTTTCCAAGTTATTTACTTGACCTCAATACGAAAACTAATTTGCTGGCAAAGACTGAACGTTTACGAAAAATATGAGTTTAAAAACAATAAAACCTTAATGGCACATTAAAAGATTATGTACAAAAGTTTTAGCTCACAGCTGTCGTAAATATGGATCATAAAACTGCTGGATCCAAAGCAAATTATAAGTCTGTCATCATCTCTCATTCTTTTCGTCATTTTTAATTTATTTGGCAATAAAATAGAAACTTACCAAAATTAAATTTCTTCATGACTAGAGTCGGTTGAGTATAAAAATATTTACTTTCACTGATTTCTTTGAATGTATTCTATATAATATAAGACCCTTGTCTTATTAAAGTGAACGAACTAATAAGTATAAATATTAGGCTTCGAGTGTCAAATTGGTTTAAATTTAAATTAAATCGGTTAAAATTTGAGTTTGCACTGTTTTTACTTAAAGGCCATAAGCTCATATAAATATTAACTTTGTACAATTATAGTGCCTACTTAGAATAAGGCCACTACGTTTTCTAATACTTTTTGAACACACAATTTTTATTATTTAGCTTGTCATTTATATGTAACAAAAAAGTAACAAACTGAGGACATAAAGTCAGACGATGAATTTAACCTATTTCTAATTATTGAATCGATTTTCAAAGGCAAATATTCGTAGCTCAGGTGACAATCCACTAACTAAGTACGTACATCTAATGATAAAATAATAAGGTGGATAGTGAAACTCTTCGAAACTACTAGACTGATTAAATCAAGTCTTAAATAAAACTATCGTTTCGTAATCATGGTCACCTGAGAGACTATAAAGCATTCGAAACGTTGGGAATCAAAAATCAATCGAGAATTTAAAAAAATCCGCGATAATTTCGGAAAAGACTGTTTTTTTTATAATTTTTTATAATTTATAATGTCAAAAACTCGCGTACCCCTTAAACTATTTAGTTTGCACGGATCTGATGATAGAATTAAAAAAAGGCCAAAATATTTTTTTTAAGTTATACTTCTTTTGGCACGTTTGGAAAAAAATATGAGAGTAAAATTTTTAGGATGCACGCGCATACCGACAGCCAAAAAACGACATGATTAAGTTAGTTGAAAGCGACATGAAGTTAGCTGCATTCCTTTTACAAACAGAGAGTTGTGACATATGGGATGATATCTTTAGCTATTTTTCTTTTGTTACGCCAAATAATAGGTATAACTTCTTGCGTGCGTACATAAGTACAGCGGTACACACACGGGTTTTTTTTGAAGTTTTAAGCTTAATTATAATTAATTTAGATTAATATTTCTCTGCACAGTGATACACTGTGCTTCCGCTTTACACGATCTCTGTGGCTGGCATATTGACATGTGAACGAACAGCTCTGACATTTAATTACACACGAAAAGAGACTCTACCATCACAGAGCTGGCCTTATTCATTCATTTGTTTAATGCTCAAATAACGAATAGCTGCTGATGGTACGCTAAATTTGGTACCTTTATGGGATATTGATTTTAATCATGTATTTTATTTAAAACTTTTAAACTTCTTAAAGCGCATGTATATAAAAATTAACTAAAAAAAGCAGTCATGAACTGCCGACAGAAGTGAAAACTTAAAACTATAGCCAAACAGTTATATATATATATATATATATATATATATATAAATATATATATATATATATATATATATATATATTCTTGGATATTCAAATTAATTGGCTGATATTAAATCAAAATTTATAAAGTAAAACTGCTTACATTTATCTGGTTTTGACATCTATCGGCACTCTGAGTGTTAGCGTTAACACGTCACGTGACCATGTCGATGACGACTTACTTGATAGTTGAATATACTCCCCATCAAAACCTGCCTATAGAAAATTTCCACTTCAAAAAAGTTTAAAATATAACTATTAGAATAGTTAAACAGGAAATGTAGATAAATTGTGTCTACGTTTTAAAAATAAACACTTTTTTAATGCTACAATTAAAGTAAAGGCTGAACGAACAAAGAAACTTAAAAGGGAAATAAAAGAGCTGACTTAATGGTTCCTGGCTAAGCGTTAACTGAAATTGCTGCTGACTCAGTGATTTCAGAAATGAGCTACGTTTGTGCTATTTCATGCTACAGTGAACTACATGATTAAGGATAAATTCTCTTTTTTATCTCTTTTATAATTTGCATGGTGTTTGCAGAAAGAAGTGGAATAGACGGTCTATCAGAGGCTTTAAATTACTACCCCTCATGAGAACATATGGCGATTTGCATAACAAAGCCCAGATAGCCGTTACAAATATTGTTTGTATCTATGTATGTACGCTTTTTGTATAATTTTATTATGCATTTATTTTATACGTTAAGCTTGAAAATCCAACTTTTAGTTTTTTTTTTTATAACATTACCTGCTATTTTATATTATGTTTAATTTTAAAATTAACTTAGAATAGTAGCAAAATTCGATAGAATTCTTTGTAAATAGTTAAAAGTAGCGTAACATATCACTTTATGCAAGTCGTGGCATGTAACCGTCAATCAACGCGTGTTCACAGATTGAATTATAATTAAGTCTATTACTTGATTTCAAATATCACTTTGCAAGCTAATTTAATTGTGCTAATAGAATAAAATTTATAATTACGAACAAACAACAATGTTCACATTTTTAAATATAAATAATTTTTGATTTTTCAATATTTTAATATTGGATAGAAAAGTGAAAATGACAAAGATTTCCCAAAACACAAAAACATTTGGAGAAAATGAAAAATCCAAATATATCGATCGCCTCTTAACGTAAAATGAAAAATAGCAGTATCTTCAGTTGTTTAGAATATTATGCAAACCTTAATCCCTCAACGACCGCGGACACGCCAGCGTTACAGTTAATAATAGATTTCTTAGAAATTTAATTAATTTCTTAGAATTTACCTGGAGGTGTTAAACTATATGCTATGCTATAAATATCGCTTTGGTTTCTACTCTCATTAAAATATTCCCGAACTTAATGAATTAATCAATAGATTGTCTAAATTGAAAATAAATGAGGAGGATAAGCTACGAGTAGTAAAGTTCTTATACATATAATATAACTAGATATAGTAACTAGATACATGATGTCCTCTTAAATCCTATTTAAGAGGACATCTTCTAAATCATATCCTGTCACCCATCCCATTTATACTAGCCATTTGTATTGTCTATCCCTTTTACTGTCTTCAATGGGGGTTGTGACTTATCCGGTGCGACCGGAGACAGATCAAGCGCAGGACTACTTCTCTCTAAGGCACAAGAGCATATAAGCGCCAGCTCCCAGTTGTTACTGAAAACAGATTGAAATTATTGTTTGTACAAAAAGCCCAATAAATTGTTTTCAGTCAAGCCGACTCGTATCGAACCCAGGACAGTCAAGATCTGCCCCGTACATGCTAACCACTTGACCAAATACAACAGCGAAGAAGTCGTGCATTATATGTTACAAGGCACATAGAATTTTCTCTAATCTATATTTATAAATGTCAGTCTGTTTGTCCACTTAGAAATCGGAGTGTTCGACACTCGCTTTCGAAAAAGGAAATCTCTTGGTATTGAATAAGTTGCATATAACCATAATATATCGTAAGTCATGATAATAGAATCAACTAAAGTATATTATTCTTATAATAATATATTGAGTTCTGGCGACCCGCTTTTGCATAGTCCAAGTGTAGGATGGCACAGATAAATACAAATGCACAAACCTTCACATCTTAATTTATAGGTATATATATATATCTCAAAGCATGTATGTTTGTATGTGCGTATTGTAAATAAAGGAATAAACCTTAAATTGTCATTTTAAAATTAATGTGCCCTTTAAACAAACTATAGGTATATTGTTTTTTTACTGTCCTATACGAAGTACGACAATTACCTATACAAAAAATTAATGTCTTCTTCTAAAAACGTTGGGAAATGCATTTACGCACGAGGTGTGGGACTCACCGGCAAAGCCAGTACTACCCACTAAAACCCAACAAAGCCTTCCCCCGTCTTAATGGGGCGTCGCAGGATCGCTTACGCATTCAACTACGACGCCCCGACGGCAGGTCTGCCAAAGCAGACCACAACAACCACGGGGTTGCTCCAAGGTCCACTCTGCTATCAGAGAAGTACCAGGAGCAACCCGCATGGTACACCGCCCTCCGAAGAGGGCCACCTCCCACCGCCCACCGAAGTGGGCCACCTCCCTATGCGTTTCTTGGCTTCGCGCCCGGTTGGGTTGCCGGGCACTACTGAGCCCCCCCACCACGACAAAGTGAACGCACGTTGGGGGGGTTCTTCTAAAACCCCTAACGTTACGAGCTAGAACTCACAAAAGTATTATCTCAATTACATTAATAGTAAAAAATGCGTACGCTATAAACTCACCCTCGCTTCCACGAGTACGTTTTAACTTTTAGTATAGATTTCTCAGAAATGAGATATTTTCCCACAGTAAAAAGTATTCCATATGTAGACCCCGATAACCAGCTATCATCATACCAATTTCATTAAAATCTATCCAGTGGTTTTCCCGTGATGCTGTAACAGACAGACAGATAGACGGACAAAAATTCTAAAAACTTTAGATTCGGCCTCTGCATCGATAATACTGTCTATTTCAATGAGATTTTCCAAAAAATATTTAGTGTACAGATTTGACTCAGTTACAATTTTATTATATGTATGTATAGATAAATAAAATCTTTAATAAATAACTTCTTAGATTAATGCGAATCTTTAATATTTTAAATAAAACTATCTTTTCGTATTTATTTATTTTGATTTTTGTTTACCGACGTTACGAATACTTTACAGCAAACATGGTCACGGGAGGACTGAGAGGTAGGAATTTATTTTTAGAGTTCCGTATGAGATATCATACAGAAGGTAATATAGTACTCGTATATTTAAAAGATAGTAAAGAAAATAAACGATATGATAGATATAATTTAAAACTATTGAGCTTAGAATTTTAAATATAATGGAGAATATAGATAGAGCTTTACTCATAAATTAAAGGAAATCCTGCTATAAGTTACAATTCCCTATCACGTGAATTACAAATATTTGAATAATATCTTCATCCTATAGAAATAATTTAAATACATATATAATACTAACGTGTTCACGCGTGTAGTGTAGTGTAGTTCAATTTCGGCTCCGTAAGTGTAGTTCAGTTTTTCTTTAAAAGTTATAGCCTATGTTGTGTTACTCTAATGTAGAAGATATTACTGTAAAGTTTCATCAAAATCCGTTTAGTAGTTTTTGCGCTAAAGAATAACAAACATCCATCAATCCATTTATTCATCCTCATAAAGAATAAATAAATATTTTTGGACATTAACACAGCACCATCTAGTTCCATGGTAAGCTACGAGGCTTGTGTTATGGATACCATATAGTTGATACACTACACATTTATAACTTTAAATAGGTACATACATATTATAAATATAAACACCCATGACTAGAGTACAAACATTCGTGCTCATCCCACAAATGAATGCCCAAAGCGGTACTCGAAGCCGCGACCGCTGGCACAGCAAGTAGGGTCACAAACTGAGCTAAAATGTCATAAGCTTTCGCGTTTATAATATAAGCAGGATACCTTTAAGTAAATAGTATCTACGTGATATCGATTAAAATTTTATAACCCCTAAATTTTACATTTTAAACAACAATACGTACATTTGCATAAAATTTACTTACTTTTATGACCGTAAAAAATTTAACCGCCTCTTAATGTATTGAGAATGAATCCATTCAGAGTATGACAAAAAGCGAAAAATATAAAATCCCGAAATATTTGTGTACGCTCAACCAACGGTGAACAATTGAAATGTAAAGTTTCTATTTTACGTAAAAACTTTTATTTGCCGAATGCCCAACGAGTTATTGTTGAAACATGAAAAAATACGGTTTCATTTTCATTCAACGCTAAGCCGGATGACCGACACGAGCTGTTTCCAGCTGCCGTCGCAACTGGGACGTTGAGATAAATTGAGGGTTTCCAATGTTTTATGTATTTTTCCATAATATATATAAATAGGTTATTGCGAAAATAGAGAATTATTGATGTGGATAATATTTCTATTTCAATTATATACATTTAACACTTTATACTTTAGAAAATAGCTTCATGCTGGGACTCTTCTTGACATATCAACTTAAACGATTACTGCTAATACCTTCGGTTCGGTGTAACAAATTATAATAAACCTACCGACATACTAAATTTACATTTATAGATCAGAAATTGGCTTTTTTTTAAATGACACTTCTTTAAAATCGTTGCAATTTCAAACTCGATGAAACGAAAATGCGACACTAAAAAGAGACAAACACAAATATAAATAATTAAGCCGGCGAGAGAATGAGATAGAATATAGAACATAGCCATGTTGCCATGGTAGCCGTTTTATATTGTCTGACAAATATTATATATAATACTACTATACTAAATATAATACTAGCATCGCCCGCGACTATATTAAAAATTCTAAAAACTATAGATTCGGTCACTATATCGATAATAATGTCTATTTCAATAAGATTTTCCAAAAAATATTTAATGTAAAGATTGGGCTTAGTTACAATTTTATTATACGTATAGATTGTATTGTTTTAATTTAATTGCGATATTTGCCAAAGAAGTTTTACTTCAACCGCACGTAAAGGTTACACGCATCCATTTTTTTTTTATCAAGTAAATTACGTGGCAAATCGCAACATTTTCTCTGCTTAATTTGAAACATGATACGTAAAACAATTTACATATCTATTTTTCAATCGTTCCATAAATGAGGTTAACTATTAAAAATAAAACTAGCTATTTCAATTTTAGATCAATTTAAACTACCTAACCCCAAAGGTCACGTTATATTTTAAAAAAACATTTTTCATTTCTTTGTACCTACAGAGCAAACAAGGTGCGGCCTTACAGTGTCCCTGTGGAAATCTAATGCGAACTCATCGCTACCAAATTAATGGAAAGAAAAATACAGATGTGTACACAGTGGAATTACATTACAAGAGAGCTTTTAACGGTAATGAATTATATCATATATTTGGCCTGAACTTGTCATAATTCGTTTAAGTGAATTTGTATTTATTTATATCCACCTCATTCTAATTTTACAATTATTATACTCAGACTAAGGAATAATATAGACAGAGTGTCATAGAACTAAACATGAAGCCAAACAATAATATTTTTAAATAATATATTACAGTGTTTTAAAACAGAATATAAATAAGAATAAAGTATTACGATAAGTCAATAAATATTAATAAATAAAAATAGTTCACTTTAATTATAATTAAGGAAAAAAATAAGCTATTATGATGCTATATCCCTTTCAAGTACCTAAATATGCTTAAAAAATATAAAAGAATAAAGATTTTTTTTATTCTTCATATTTTCTTTTCGATAATTGTTAATAATTAAAGATACATAAATAAATCCCTATATACAATATTTTTCATATTCGACGACACGTTTGGCTCAGTTTGTAGTGACCCCGCTGTGCCAGCGATCGCGGGTTCCTGTCCTGCTGGGGGCATTCATTTGTGCGATGAGCATGAATGTTTGTACTCCAGTCATGGGTGTTTATATTGTATATGTATTTAAAGTTATATATGTGTAGTGTATCAACTACCTGGTATTTATAACACAAGCCTCGTAAACCATGGAACTAGATGGTGCTGTGTGTTAATATCCCAAGATATTTATTTATTATTTATTTATTCTTTAAAGAGACTAAACGATTTGTATGACAGAATCAAGAATAGTAGCATAAACATAAAAATCATGCCACTATCTTTAACTTTGACATAACATTAGTCTGAGTCTGATATTAACTGGAATATTCTAAGTAAAATATTATTTTCAACTATATTTTAGTAACGTCCGTATTTTATCACTACTTTAGTGTGATTCAATTCCAAGTGGTAGGTAATTTAGTTTCATTTCATAAAGTAAACTAAAATAAAATGTGTTCATAAAAATGTACCATTTTTAGCACGCTTTTATAAGCTTCATTTATAACTATTTAATAAAATCTATATATTTTGGTTTTCTCCTATCTATAGTATCACTTTCGAACTTTGTAAATATGAAATACGGATGATAAAATAATGATAACAGATCATCGAGCGCATCTGATGATTAAACTAAAAAGTTAAAGATGGAACCCTTCAATGCCTATTAGTCAAACTTACGAGCTTACACTATAGTGGATCTAAAGTATTCCTTGAAGTTTTTAAAACTATAATTGTTTTTAAACACAATTTCGATTGAAAGTTAATTCCAAGAAAAAATAATGCACTTTCTATAAGTCGCAGTGAGTGTTACCAAAATATAATATTATGATCGATAGACAGCTTTCTCTTATTCTAAGTGACAATCTGAGATGTTAAACAATAGACCGTTTTTTGTTATACGAGTATTTGTAATAAGAGCTAGTTAATCACGAAAGTGGGTGGAAGTCTTAAAAAACGTGATTTAAATGAAATGTTATTTGTTTATAATATACAAGTACGTGAGGGGAAAGTATTTTATCTATTTCTTTGGAAACGACTTTCTATATTTTAGTGAACAGTTTTTTATTGAACTGGCCAACATGAAGCAGACTTGCCTACTTAGCGACTGGTAATGGCAAATGTGAAAAGTCAATTATTTTTGCGTATAGGATATTATATTCTTGTTTTTTTTATCATACATTGTTGCTTTATTATAAAAAAAAAAAAAAGAAAGTTTTTTAGATCTTTAACTTACTTGCGAACGAAAGAATTTTATAATTATATCTGCACTAAATACCAAGTTTAAGTATATTTATATTTCACTTTAAAACTAAGGAAGAACGTGAATTAAAACATAATATTATAAATTTAATATTTGATGATAGCGAACCCTCGGTGCGAGAGTTATGCCCGATTTCACCAACGTCACTTAAGTTTAAGGGATCCCCTAAGCATGTCCCCTAAAAGCCCTCTTGGCTTTTAGGGGACATTTTCTGTTTCACCGACAGTTAGGGGTCACCTAAATATTAAAAGGCCCCCTAAATTTATGTGCTCGAAATATGGGCTTAAAGACGATCGTAAAACGAAATTTAATTTAGGGGCTAGTTTAGGGGACTTTTAAGCTAGGGATCCCATACGTAGGTGGTAGCTTATAGGTAGTTGGTGAAATCGGGCATTAATCTCGTATTTGTCTCATTTTTTTGTACTTTCTTAAGAAAGTTCAAAAAATCTAACAACTAACTCATAGTGTAATGATAACTGATTAATGATTTATGATGATTATTAAAAAAATGATGAGTATAAATAATACTTCTAATAAAAGTTTTAATGAAATAATATGAAAAACAAAACTTATAGCTATATCGAAACACACATAAATGATCAAACAGTTAAAATATATTTCACTAACATTTTCATTGTAACAAATAATACAATAAAACGTGTTAAAAATCAATACCAGTAGGAAGAGCTTATCGCGGCGCGCTTTTATATAGACTGAATACCCTAGTTCAATTGCGATTATAACCGGGAATAAAGAAAATAAACAAATTATCTTATGCATATATTCATGAGGATAACGAAGCCGGCTCGGTAGAGTGGAATGGATTTTTTAAGTTAGACGTCAGGCAGACGTAGGTATTGCGATATTTTTTTTCAAAGATTACTTTTTATGAAGTTATGGCGGCTGTGGTTCTTTTGCATATTTTTATTGCTACTTATAATCAGTCTATTACTTATGAATCATCTTCTTTTATTTAAAAAGTCTAATATATTTTATAAAGATTTAGTTTTGGCCTGTGGCTCCACCAGCATTGTAGCACTACGAAATTTAAGGTTGCCCGTGTATATTCATAACGAAATCTATGTCCTTGCCCAAGCTCATCAATAATAAACAGACTCTGACTTAACATGTGTCATATTATAATGGAGTAAAAAATATAATATTTAAAACATTAAATTATAATGACATTTAAAAAAACCCTCATTAAATTCTATTATATCTTAAACATTTTAATAATAAATCTTATGAACAAAAAAAATGTTTGGAAATATTTTTTTCAAAGCAAAACGAAATGCCAGACAGAGAAGCTAATATTTTATTTTATATATTAAAAATACCTGGTTTTATAAAATACTTCACATTAAAACGGCATAATAGGTAGGTATACGTACAAAAAAGCACATGAGAATTTTCTAATTATATACTATCTAAATATGAAACAGTTATAATATACTAAAGTAAAAATATGATTGGCCATCAACCTTTAACCAGTTTAACTTTGCAATCAAAACATTTTGTAAAAATATTGTTTGCACTTCTAAAGTACTTAATTTAACCAAATTGCCTACTAATAGCACCTTCGCCTGTTTGAATAAATTAGCTATTATTGGAGGAAATTTGTTGCCAACAAGTTGAGGCAGGCGCCAGCTTGTAAAATATTCACGAACGCCTCGCTTTCATTATTGTAAGTGAATAAATAAAATCTCATAAACTAAAACTAATATTTTATATTTCTTGTTAGTTAAAGTGTTTCTACTAAACACTTTTAAAAGTTATTTTATATTATCTACGTATATTCTAATTTCTATATTAATATGATGCTTAATCAAATAACAGAATTATGATTAAAATAAGCGAAATTCCTTGGTTCAAATATATTTTTGTATTTTTATTTAAGTAAAATTATAATAGTTGTGTAGTAAAAAGTGGGCAGACGATCTTTCTCTCTCCCTCTCTCTTTCTCTTCCCAACAACGAATAAAAAGATAAAATTTTAAAAATTTATTAGTCTAAATATAAGATATACCTACCTACAGGTGCAAAACTTTATAGATATTGCTAGTATAAATTAAATATTAGATACATATTTATTCATGGTACAAATTATTATGATATACTAATATAAACTATTTAAAACTGTAAGACGAACTTAGCAGTGTTTATCAACCATTACCATACAAATATTACTTCGCGCTTCTATATTGAATATATACTTTGAATTACCGAGCAAATAGTAAAAGTTATTTAGGTTTTATAAATGACTGTTTGCTAACTTAAAGCTAGTTCAATAATTATTAAGTGTGGCTTACATTAGAATATTAATGTAATGAACACATAGATTGCTTTATTTTATACTGACATATTACACGATACGATTTAATTAAATTTTCCTGATTATTACTTTATGTGACTGGTCAAATGTGTGTATTATTCCCAGTAAACTATATATGTATACATGTATAATATAAATATCATTATATATAAATAGGAAAAATTAAAAGTCACTGCGTACTGTGCAGGAGGTTAGGAGTTCAACCTTTTTAGATCATTTTTTACATACCTATATCAAACTGTTGTAGCGATTTCAAGCTTTATAATAATGTGAAATTCGGATGACAATACAATAATTTAATACTATCAAACTGAACTGATAGAGAGCTAAGAAAATCTTCAAAAGGCTACCTATTAAAATCTTTAAGTTTAGACGCTTTCGATATGACTCTCTTACACTAATGTTTTTAAATTATTTTATAAATAAATACTTTAAAAACACCACGCAGCGAGTTTCCTTACATAAATGAATATAAGTAGCTAATTGTTTTTCGTTCCATCGTAGCTTTAATACTAAGTTAGCAAACAAGGTATTTAAACTATAACCATTTTTTATCATTTATTTCAGGCAATATTTACAAAAAGGTTTTAAATATGTAAACAGAGGCCCATAACATATATACCAAAAAATGGTTAAAACGTTTAAAGTAAACACGTGTACAGTAAAAACCTGTGTCCACATCTTTAATTTGTCTGTCTCAACTGAAACATTTACACACGTCTACAACACAATATCATTTGAAATTTCAATCATATAAGTTGCATTCCGCTCCTTTAATGAAAATTAGTAAAAAAATGTACAAGTTTACATATATAATATCTTACTGTCATATAATTTAAATGTAAAAGTTTAGATGGATGTTTGTTAATCAATCATGCCAGAACGGCTGAACGGATCTGGATGAAAGGCACAGAGAAGTCTGGAATAGCACACAGGCTACTTTTTATCCCTGAAAAATGTATGGTTCCCATGGGCTTAGAATTTTTCTTGTTAGTTAATATATAAATATATAGATTATTTATATAGATTTGTTCTTGCCAGTTAATATATAAATTACGAAATAATAAACATTCGCTTAATCAATTTATTCAATTCAAATTAATTTATCCACTTTGTTCATTTAATGCTAAGTATTATAATGACTTTTAAATATTTTTAATCTGCAATGAAGTAGGGACTTGAGTTAGGTACCTCTCAAAGCTCTCTTCACAACGTACTTATCTATTACGGAGATTGAATTTAGGTGAAATAATATTTGGACGATAACCTTTGTTAAAGCCCTCGACATATATTTTAAGCGTAAGAAAACAATGACGTGAAATCGCTACGTTTTTACAAGGTCACAATATAGAGAAATTTAACGCCAGTTAACTTATTAATTAATTCCTTAACTGATTAGTTATAATATAGATTTCAGGTGACAACCCTCAATTAAAGTGGTTCTACAAGTTGTACTGTTTTGTTGAATTTAGTATTATATATTTTAAAACAATCTATTATGAGATTATGAGTTTACAAAACTTAAAATTAAAAAAAGTTATTTCTATCTATTCAGCCTAAAAGAGATAAAATATCAGAGGTGTGAGACCCAGAATTTGAACCCGCTTCACTTGGTTTCCCAAGCGAGCGCGTTACCACTGGGCTACCACTGCCTATCTGTTATTACATACTCGTACAAGTCATTTATAACAATAAAAATATAATCGTATTATGTAAAATTGTATTCATTAATTAAAATAATTCGCGTTACTTAATATCGATAGTACTTAAAATCTTCGAGAAAACGTATGACCCATAACGGGTTGCGCCACTATCGCCCCACTGCCAGCTCTAGTGAAGTGGAAAGCAAGGTCTCCAGCTAACTTATTGTATTTGGCACTGTTCTCATTAGGACCAGTAAAACAATAACACAGGAAGGAAACAAGCGGGCATGAGCTCTTATGCCGCGTGAAAACTATCACGGTACAAAGAAACCACTTCGTTCCACTGAATTTAACATGACTATAAATGAACGTTGCAAACGCAAAATGACATTAGTCGAACGCTGTCGGTGACAATTACATCAATAAGATGTTGACATCAGTTTTTATTACTCTCATTCTTACATTGACAGGAATGCAAGCAATTAAAGTCGAATTATCTGATGAGAAAACCCCTTACGATTACGTAAAGGAACGCTTAGATGCGATCGGAATTGATCCTAAGTCTGGGATTCCGTTGTCTGGCTCATATGAAGTGGAAGAAAGTGAAGACTATCCAGAAGAGATTGAAGGAGAAGCTTCTAATGTTTTGAATACTGTGGCAGGTGTCGGTGGAATTGGATTGGGGCAAGGTGTTGGGTTCGGGCAAGGATTGGGAGGAATTAATGGATTCGGTGGAATCGGAATTGGGCAAGGTCTTGGTCTGGGATATGGTGGCTTAGTTAATGGGGGAGCTCTTAGTGGAATAGGTTCTGGGATTGGAGGAGCCGGGGGTGGTGTTGGACTCGCCAATGGCATTGGGTTAGGCAACGGTGTGGGGCTCATTAACCCTGGCTTAGGAGGCTTAGGAGGCTTAGGTGTGGGAGGCGTAGGGGTTGGTGGTATCGGTCTGGGCAACGGCCTTTTGTATCATCCATTATTAGGTGCCCAAGTGGGAGGAGGCTATGTAGATAAGAAAGCTTATGACGCCGCCCAAAAGAAAGGAGCTGATGAAAATATAGAGAAAATAGAAAAGAAGGCTGCAGAAGAAGCTAAACATGGCCAAGAAGGATCCCAACATGCTGTGGCGGCTGCTAAGGCTGAAAAGGGAGAATCAAGCTTCTATAAAGATGAAGAAGCAAAGAAGAAAGCCGCTGGTGATGAGAAATTTTACGAAGGCGGACAGAAAGTTGATAAGCAAGGTATTATTACAATGTTTCATATGACTTTTTGAAAAATTTATTTATCAAACATTAATTTTTCTATATAGTTTATAACGTATTTACGTAACTTACTTAACTCCAGTAAAAATAACATAAAACTTTTATTAGCTCCACTTTTACAACTTCACAACTAAAGCCATTTTACGAACACAGGTGCCAACGAAGAGCAGTTAAAGAAAGCAAAGAGTCATAAAAAAGGACACGTTAGCAAAGGATTTAAATCTTCAAGCAGCAAGAATGAGGAAGAAAAATCTGAAAGCTTCTATGATGAAGCCCATGATGAAGCCGACCATAAGGTTTCTGGTCACAACGCTGGGTCGTTTGGAGAAAATTCTCAACAAGGTTTCAAGGGAGCCCATGAAGAGAAGATTCTTGATGCCAACGCTCAAGGAAAAGAAGGACACCATGTGTCTGAGCAAAAGATTGATGACGCCAAAGCAAATAAGGTAAGTCCAGGCTTTTTTTATGTATTAGACTAGTAAAAAGTGCATTTATTTGCAAAATACTTAATGGTTGCACGCGACTTTGTTTATATATTTAGTTAAAATGAAGTTATTGTAGAATTAATGAAATTCAACAAACCTAATTTTATTCACGTGCTTTAGGCTGTATAACTTTGATATTGCCCTAGTTTAACAAAAATGAAAATATGTAGAAAATATAAGCATGTTTTTTTACATATTGACGAAGATTAAATTCATGTTATTATTATTAATTTTAGTTAAATCGATTGACTCGGCAACAAAAAGTAGTGTGTTACGAAAATTTAGAGTAAACATTGAATAATTTTGCGGTTTGTTTGCCTAAGAATTTGCTCTGAAATATATAGTGTAGAAATATACTTTTACACTGATTCTCTTCATATATAAATTTATGGCACCCCTTTAATTTCTAATTTTGTTTTTTTTTACGACAAATTTTGATAACAATTTATAGTTTAGTTTACTATGTACTCTGATATTTATATCTTCTATGTATGATAAAATTCTGGGTCGAATCTGTACATTAAATATGTTTTAGAAAATCTTAGCGAAATAGTTATTATTATCGATACAGACGCCGAATCTATAGTTTTTAGAATTTTTGTCTGTCTGTCTGGGAATGCATAACAAGAAAACCACTGGACAGATTTTGATGAAGTTTGGTATGATGATATCTGGTTATCACATAGGATACTTTTTACTGTAAGAAAATATCTCATCTCTGCGAAATCTATATCTACTAAACTTAAAAACGTAACTAAGATAGAACCCGAACAGATCGAGGGTGAGTCGCTAGTAAAATATAAATATAGTAAATGAAATCTTTATTCGTGCCAATGTACGTTCTAGTATTTTTCAACACAAATATTATGCAAACTTTGTATCATCTTTAACTTACCTTAAAGTCATTTTCATTAAAAATTACTTCCACTTGACTTTTAAGAAATTGCTGTTACATAATTAATGAAACGTTACAAAGGAAACTGAACGATGAACTATGTGTACATAGGCTTGCAACAATCATGACTACACGATCCCAAGGTCCTGGGTTCGAGCACCGGGTGGGTTTTACTCCCGTACTTCGGAGATTAATATAATGCAGTCAGTCCTGCGCCTGATCTCTTTCTGGTCTATCGAATTGTCATCCCACCGGAGATTGAGAATGACAGGAGTAGAGAGTCCACTTGTTTTATTAACCCCCATACTTGTACACTATAATATATGCCACGTAGATAGCTAGTCTCAGAGGATGATTATATTATTAAAAAAAACTAACGAACTACGGCTACAGTCTGATAGTTATTTTTATTTGACCTGCCTCTTTTTAGGAGATAAAAAGAAATGGATGATATTTTGACTAAAAAAATTAAAAAGAGTACTACAACCATTGTGGCAAAGCGAAAAATAGCTATTTTTAAGTGGGGACTATTGTTTCCATTACATAAAAAAATCTTACTTAGCTATTCATGTCAATATAGGAATATGCTGTCAAAATTTCAGGCCAATCGATATATCGTTCTTATAAGAAATAAATGAATCGGAATTAAGATGGAGAAATAGATCAGAATCTATTCAGCTTCAGGCTTGATAGATAGTAGATATAGGGGAAATATTATACTAGCGACTCACCCTCGTTTCGCTCGAGTTTGTCCCTAGTTATGTTTTAACGTTTAGTATCTTTCTCAGATATGAGATATTTTTCCGCAGTAAAAAGTACCTATCCTATATGTTGACCCGGATAACCAGCTATCAATATACTAAAATTCATCAAAATCTGTCCAGTGCTTATCTCGTGATGCGGTCACAGACAGACAGACCGACACAGACAAAAATAGACTATCCTCTGTATAGATAATAATGACTATTTCAATAAGACTTTCCGAAAAATGTTTAATATACAGATTCGATTTAGAATTTTATTATATTATGTATAAGATGATAAAAGGGCTTTTTGTGGATATAGAGTTGGCAATGTACCTAAGTCGATGAAAAAAAAAATTATCGCGACTTGCACGCAAAGTTATTTAGGGACGCTAATAAATTAAAAAACAACATAACATAGATTATAAATAAGATTGAAAAATATTTATAATTTTAATTTCAGGGAGAGTTCCTACAAAAGGGCTTCCAAGAGGGCACGGAGTTATTAGAAAAGTTCAACAACTTGGGAGCTCATGCCGTACACGGACACCAGGAAGCGAGTGGTGGATATCAACAGAATAAGGGCATACTTCCTATACATTAAACTTAGAAAAAAATATTACCCTACAGTATTACACTACGAAAATAAAGATAAAAGAACGTTATTGTTGTTTTTTTTTGGATTGTAATCTTAACTTTTAATGAATGAAGTTTGTCCCTAAAAGTTTTATGGTTTTGGAAAACTTTTTAACGATTCGTCCATTTAAATAAATGTATTGAATTTTTCCCTTGACATAAAAAGAAACAACGATTATTTGGTTCGAATCCTACAATTAAATATTTTAACCGTCTTTTAACAAATAAAAAATCATAAAATTGGTCAAGTGCGAGTCAAGCTCGCACACGAAGTACATCGTACATGTACTTTTTATTAATATGACTTTATGTATGTAGTATATTAACTTCGATGATCGGTTACGAACGTTAAAAAAATATTTGTTGTATTTATATTTTTTTATTAGTTGTTTTTATAGCAGCAATAGAAATATATACTCTGTGAAAATGTCAACTCTCTACCTATGGCGGTTCAAAAGATACACTCCTCAGACAGACGCGACGGACTGACGGACGGACAGCGGAGGCTTAGTAATGAGGTTCCGTTGGCTTCCTTCGGATATGGAACCCTAAAAAACGAAAATTTGTCTGAATATTCTAGAAAAACAATATCAATGTCTAAACAGTCGTAATATATTATTTAAATAGATATTTAAATAGATAATTAATAAAGCACTATAAATAAAAAAAAATCAATTTCTTAAAATATTTAATATAAACAAATTATGTAACTACATGCAAAAAAAATAAAATTGAAACTTAAAATTTAACTAAACTGCATTTTGTTGCGTTTTTTTAGAGAACACTTCTTAGCGTAACCATTGCAATATAAAAAGGCCGGCGACTTCATAGAATGATTAGACAAATATCCAGATTCAATGCTGGATTGACTATAAACAGATCTGAAATAAAAAGAAAACATGTGCTTTTATTAAAAGCTAGTTTTTAGCCTGTGGCTTCGCTCGCATGCACCCTACTGTACTATGTACCCTAATATACTATGTACTATGTCCTCAGGATACAATCTATGCCCTTGCCAAATTTCATCAAAATCTGTTCAGCGGTTTAAGCATGAAAATGGCACGCAGCCGGCAGATAGACAGTATTTTTCAAATTACAATGAGAATATAAAAAAATACATTAGAATAGTCATGGGTGTTTAATTTTTGCTAGATTTCAAAAAAGGATTTTTCATTATAATAATGAACTACGTTTAACGTTTAGTATAGATTTCTCAGAGATGAGATATTTTTCCGCAGTAAAAAGTATCCTATATGTTGACCCGGATAACCAGCTATCATGATACCAAATCTCATCAAAATCTGTCCAGTGGTTTTCCGTGATGCGATCACAGACAGGCAGTAGGTACTGTATACATTAGAAAAATAGTAGCATAAATATGTGCTTGCATCTCTAAATAACTACTAAACTAATCAAATCACTTCCAATTTCCAAGTCAGAAATAGCAATTTTTTTGCATAAAAATTAAAAAAAAATACAAACATTAATTATTATATAGAAGCCGCCTTTAAATACTCGGCGGGCTTAATTTAAAACATCAAATGAAACGTAATTTATAAGTGACTTTATTTCTTTTCATACTTTATTGCCATTTCCAAACTCCATTTTTAATTACCACTCGTAAAAATTGAGGAAAACATCTATTCAGAAATTATGCCGCTCTTAATTATATATTAGAAGAATTTGACGCTAATATTTGCACAGTAAATAGAATCACCATTTAATGCCTAATGGCTTTATTGAAATTATTTAAAAATATAATTTATTTGGGTTTTAATTGTACGTTGTATAAATTAAACAACTCGCTATCGACTTTTAAAGAAGCGTTATCGTTATTGTATAGGAATAGGAAACTAAAAATAATTTTGGTATCGATTTTTTAATTTGCATGTTGCATTTGACTCGTATATTTATTTGTATATATAATATTATAATGATTTATGTACTAATATTACATATAAATATGGAAGTTTAGGTGTTTGGATGGATGTTTGTTATTCAATCACGCCAGAACGGCTGAACTGTATGAAATTTGGCACAGAGATAGATTATAGTCTGGAATAGCAAATAGATTACTTTTTATCCCGGAAAAATTAACAGTTCCCGTGGGATATCCATATTAACCGTTAAAACGTACCTAGAGACAAACCAGAGCGAAGCAAAGGGTGCATAACGTTAAAATTATAATTTCAATTAGATTGAAAAATATAACGATAAGGTTTATAATTCCCTGGCATTACATAGCTTACTGTTTGTATACATTTGAACAAAGTTATTACACCGTAAAAATGTAATATGACACCGGCTTTTAAATTAAAGCGGAACGAAGGGTCCTTTTTGGATATTGATTTAAAGTGAAAAATGTTATTATAGATATTTTTATTCAATACTAGTAATACCCCGCGGCTTCGCTCGCGTTCAATTGCTGGTATAGAACATGTTTAGTATATGGGACGCGCTCTGGCAGAGTGGGTGGTATTTTTGGATAGGAGAGATGATATGGAAGTCTTAAGACGGACGAATGACAGACGGAAAGATAGACAGACAGACAGACAGACAGACAAAAAATCTAAAAACTATAGATTCGGCCTCTGTAGCGATAATAATGAGTACTTATTTCAATAAGAATTTCCAAAAAATATTTAATGTACAGAATTGACTCAGAATTTTATTATATGTATAGATTTTGACCCCATGAAAGTTATAAATACAGGCATTTTAATACAAAATATTAAATCTCAATTCGCATAGCAACGCAAGCATAATTCACTACGCGTCGAGAATACCGTATAATCTTAGAGATTCTTTAAAAATTTGGAATACCCGGCCGAGTCGGGAGTGGGGGGCGTGGACACCGTCGACGTTATTCTATTTGACGCATTTGATCTCTGAAATTGTAATTATTCATTAAAAATCTATACTAATAGTATAAGCAGGCAAAGTTTGTTTGTTTGAACGCGCTAATCTCAGGAACTACTAATACAATTTGAAAAAAACTTTTTGCATTAGATAGCCTGTTTAATGAGGAAGGCTATAGGTTGTATATAATATAATATATAGTCTATCTATTCCATACTAACCGTTCAAACGTATCTATGCTATATACCTAAATTCTTTTCTCAGAGATTTCTCAGAGATGAGATATTTTCCCGCAGTAAAAAGTATCCTAAATGTTGACCCGGATAACTAGCTATCATAATACCAAATTTCATCATTTGGTTTTCTCGTGCGTTCCCAGACAGACAGACAGACAGACAGACAAAAATTCTAAAAACCATAGATTCAGCCTCTGTATCGATAATAATGACTATTTCAATAAGATTTTTTTTAAAAATATTTAATGTACAGATTCGACTTAGAATTTTAGTATAATATGTATAGATAAAGTATAGGGATCTCTACCTGAACGAAGCGAGCGTACCTACGTCATTAGCAAAAAAATAATTTCATATAAAATAAATGTGGTATATTTCATTAATACGTAATAATTAACTTTAGTCGGAAAACTGTTTAAATCGAGGAAAAAAATAAATCAATTAATTCGAAACCTCCTTTTAACGTTTCATTGCAGATTATAACAAGCCATCTCATTGGAAGAACACGGTTTAATATTTTACGTTTTGTTTCACGTCAAGTATAAATGTACCATTTGGTGGTGAAGCTGTTATTGTTCATACAAAAGAACAATTTCGCTAAAGTTCCGCTTAAGTTCGTTATAAAAAAAGAGATCACTTCTTGTTGGTTTTTGTTATTCATCTCGGGCGTTGTAAATAAGATCGTGAGAAAATTTGTATGCCACGAAGGAAATTTAAAGTTATGAGTAGTCCATTCAGACATTGAAGCATAGTTTAAGCTTCTGAACAACGTTTTATATTAAAAGTTTAAAGGCAGGTACTGAAGTTTGAAAGTACGACAGTATATAAGAGAAATTCAATTCTACAATCAAATAGGTTTTTATTTTTATTTTAGAATCATTTTTACTGTCACTAAGGCAGAATGAATTATATATTTCGTTCAATACTTTTTACTTAGGCTAAAATTATAAAGACGGGGCCCGCCAAAATAAATGGCAAAGTCAAAAATAGTAGCGTGATTTAATGTATATGTTACTATTTATCGATTTCGCCAGGGTTAAATATATTTTAATATATAGTAGACTAGCGACTCAACCTCACTTCGCTCGGGTTCGTCCCTAGGTACGTTTTACCGGTTAGTATGAAATACAAATCTTTAATCTCTCGGCTTTTCTGTACTATAATATGCATGTATTATACATATAAACCTTCCTCTTGAATCACTCTATCTATTAAAAACCGCATCAAATTCCGTAGTTTTAAAGACCTAACATACATAGGCACAGACAGACAGCGGGAAGCGACTTTGTTTTATACTATATCGTGATACATATGGTAGGTTTATACATATAGGAGATATACTAAAATATATAAATTCATACCTGACTATTGGGATTGGATCGGTGCTTGATTATCCGCGCTGGGGTCACGAGGTTCGACTGATACGGTTGCTATTAAACATACAATTCATTTTTACATTTATAATCAAAATTCCACTATTTCTTCTTTTTATACCATTATATTTAACTTAATTTCCACAAAATGTTAAGCACATTTCAGTTTGAATACACTGTTTTTTTTTTATATTATTCATTTAATATGTTGATGTTATATGCAATAGGACTTAAATTCATAAAGTAATTGAAAAATTGCATCATAAAAGCGTATAATTGTTTGAGATGATCAATCATACGGTACATATTTAGTACAAATATATTTTTTTCCTCAGTTTACAAATATGTAAGCACAAGTAGCTTTATCGAACGTTTGTCAAAATTGTTTATGTTACAGTGTCAAAGGTCTGAAAGATATTGCTAGCTACAATATATCGAAGTAATATTTCAAGTTGTTTATAGGTACTAATCAAACTTATTTGATTATTGGGAATACC